CCACAATCCATTCAAATTCTTTAAAATCCATATAAATTTTGTAGACGTCTTTAATTCTCTTTAATCCTATCAAATCTATCACTTTTAAAATCCTTTAAAATCCTTTAAAATCTTAGTTTGACTACACCCCCAAGAAACAAGAATCCCCTACAATCCACCACAATCCATTCAAATTCTTTAAAATCCATATGAATTTTGTAGGAGTCTTTAATTTTCTTTAATCCTATCAAATCTATCACTTTTAAAATCCTTTAAAATCCTTTAAAATCTTAGTTTGACTACACCCCCAAGAAACAAGAAAGGGAGACCGGGAAAGGAGGGAGACTTTTGAAGTTAAACTTTTGGTAGGTTAAAAATTGGTAGATTAATGAGGGATATCTGTGGAAATAAAGTAATTAGTTTTTTATATGAAGTTTTGTAAGTGATAGTGGAGTTCACTTTGTCAAAAAAAAAAATAAAAAAAAGAAGTTATAGTGGAATCCACACATCACTTAGTGAATGGGAAAGGCAAGTGGGAAAATGTAGAAAGCATTCCTCTTTATTTTCTTTGGAAAAATGCTAAGAGACTCTCCCAAAAGTAGACATTTTCTCTTAGCATTTCTCATTTTCTTTAAAGAGTCCCCCTAGCATATCTCATTAATGAGGTGGCAAAAAATCCATAGAGAGTCATACTTTTGAGAGTGTCCCCTAAACATTTATCTTTCCTTTAGAAAACTTCAACTCCAACCACACTCTCTATCATGTTTTTTTTTATTTTTTTTTTATGAATAAATGATATTATCTACACCAACGAGAAGGGGATAAGTTTAGTCTCATAATGGACTAGCAAAAATGTGGTTCAAATTCGCATTTAACGAGAATCAAACATAAGACCCCTCTCTTACAAGTGAAGATGAATACCACTTTTTAGTAAAGCAGATTTGCTAGGAATTCTTGAATTTAGGAAGTGAGAAAGAAGCTCTTAAGGGCTTCTATAACGTTAATTACTTTCTTTAATAACTTTTTTAAATATATGTTTCTATCAGTACATATTTATTATGACTCTCTAAATTAGATTAATTACTATTCCCTTAATAACTTTTTAATAAATAAATAAAAACTTTGTTTCTATTAGTACATATTTATTATGACTCAATTAGAGATTACAGTTTAGTGAAGATTATAGTTTAGTCGCATCTTCAGCTCAGAGTAGGCCTTACGTAACACCTCAGGCACGAGGCAGCAAAAAACTGGACAACATAGAGGTAGACAGCCTGGAAGAGGTTAGTAGGGAGTAGAAGCTCAGAGCAGTAGAGTTGGGATGCCACATAAAGGTTTTCAACAAGTTGGCAAAGATTATGCATTATCTGCTTTGAAGGGTGAGGCGAAGCCTCACACAGTCACATGTATTATTCATATTGATTCGCTCTTAGCTAAAATAATGTTTGATCTTTGGATCTACTCATTGTTTCATATCTAGTACTTTTGCTGAGTCGTTGGGTAGAACTATTGAGACGATGGAGGTAGCGTACTCCATTTTCTATCATTTTTCGAGGTGTTATATTGTTAATTGAGTAGTTCGATCCTATGAGGCTCATGTGGTAGGGTGAGATGACAGTTGATTTGATGGTTCCTCCAATGCGAGATCTAGATGTCATTATTGGCATGGATTACCTATCCATGTATCGTGTAAATCTTGATTGTGTTTGAAAACTTGGTGACCTTCCGACCACTTGGCAGACTTGAGTTTCAATTTACTGATGTTCATAGAGTTACTTCACCACCAGTGATGATATCAGCCACCAAGTCTAGGTGACTCATGAGACGTGGATGTTAGGGTTATCTAGCTTATGTCGTCGATTTTGATTGACAAGATAGTAGGATTGATGACATACTAGTCGTTAAAGAATTTCTAGATGTGTTTACAACAGAGTTACCGAGCTTGCCTTTAGCGAGAAAGATCGAGTTCACTATTCACCTCGTGTCAGGGATATCGTCTATTGCTAAGGCCTCGTATCATATGGCACTTTTGGTGCTTAGAGAGCTTAAAGAGCAGCCGTAAGAGTTGTTGTATAAGGGTTTGATTCGACCAAATGTTTCACCGTGGGAAGCTCTTATTCTCTTTGTGAAGAAGAAAGACGAATCTATGTATTTGTGCATTGATTATCTTAAGTTTAACATAATGATAGTGTGGAACAAGTATGCCCTTATCGAGGATTAATGAGCTGTTTGACCAGCTACAGGGTGCGTAGTACTTTAGTAAGTTGGATTTGCGAGCTAGTTATCATCAATTGAGGATTAGAGAGAAGGACATACCGAATAGGTTTTCTAGACTCGCAATGGTCACTATGAGTTCTTGGTATTACCATTTGGTCTGACTAATGCACCTGCTACGTTCATGGATGTGATGAACAAGGTGTTTCGATCGTTTATTGATCATGTTGTGTGGGTGCATCGATGATATTTTAATCGATTCACGGAGTTTAACCAAGCATGAAAAGCATCTGAGACTTGTTCTGCAGGCTATGAAAGATTGTCAGCTGTCTACCATGTTAAGCAAGTGAGTTTTGTCTAGACCATGTTGGTTTTCTTGGTCATGTGATCTCGCAAGATGATCATGGTGGATCTTGTGAAGGTTAAGGCGGTTGTTGGTTGGAGTCGACCAACTACAGTGACTGAGAGTTGATTTCTTACCATTCATATTTTCTTTTACGAGACTGATGGGGAAGACTACTCATTTCATTTGGGATGACAAGTGTAAGGCCAACTTTGAGAAGCTAATGAAAAGACTCGTAAATGCACATGTTTTTACCTTTCCTTTTAGTTTTGGGGATTTGTAGTTTACATTGATGTTTCCTGTAAGGGACTAGGTTGCATTTTGATGCAGCATGGTAAGGTAGTAGCCTTCGCCTCTCGCTAGTTGAAACCGCATAAGCTTAATTATTCGCCCCATGATTTGGAGTTAGTTGTTGTGGTCTATGCACTGAAGATCTAATGACATTATCTTTATGGGGAGTCTTATGAGATTTACATCGACCACAAGAGCCTGAAGTACATCTTTACTCAACGGGAGATGAATTTGAGATAGAGATGTTGGCTAGAGCTGGTGAAGAACTATGACTGTCAGATTCTCTATCATCTGGGCAAGGTGAATGTAGTTGTCGAAACCTTTAGCTGAAAAAACTTAGCCAGTGCTACAGCTTTATTACTTTAGGTTAGTTAGTTAACAGAGGATTTGAGGAGGATAGAGATTGAGACTATTGATCAAAGTGGTGATCATCTACTCGTAGCCCTTACCATGTAACCTACGTTGATCAATCAAATTGAGGCAGCTCAGAGCGAGGATCCAAATTTGGTTTGGATCATGGATGGAGTTTGAGTAGGTACTCGCTTCGAATTTTCCATCTCTGATAGTGGTGTTCTTTATTTCTGGATCAAACTTAGTGTTCTGAATGTCAGAGATCTATTGATGAAGGCCATGGATGAGGCTCATACTTTTACTTTTTATATTCACCCCGAGGGCACGAAGATATATCAGGGTCTTGGTGAGAGTTTCTGGTGGGGAAACATGAAGAAAGAGATTGCAGAGTTTGTAGCACATTGCTTGACTTGTCAACAAGTTAAGGCAGAACATCAGCGACCTACATGCTTACTTCAGGACTTCCCTATTCCCGAGTGTGAGTGAGAGCTCATTACCATCGATATCGTGATAGGGTTACGGAGGGCTAAAGATGAGCATGATTTTATTTGAACAGATTGATGAAATTCGATCATTTTCTCGAAGAATATTCTCTGGAGTGACTTGTGAGACTCTACATGGATGTGATTGTGAAGTTGCATGGACTTCCAATGTCTATTATTTCTGATTGAGATCCTCGTTTCACTTCTCTTATTTTAATAGTCTTCATAGAGTTATGAGGACTAAGTTGAGTTTCAACATAACTTTTCACCCTCAGACAGATGGTCAGTCAGAGTGTACTATTCAAACTTTGAAGGATATGCTTTAAGCCCGCATCATAGACTTGAAGGGTAATTGGGACACACATCTTTCGTTGATTGAGTTGGCGTATAATAACAGCTTCTAGACGAGTATTTAGATGGCACCTTACAAGGTACTATATGGGATGAGGTACATATTACTGCAAAGAAGGTTGCTCTGATTCGTGCACGTTTATTAGCAGCTCATAGTCGACAACGGAGTTATGCCAATCCTTACTGATGTGAGGTGACATTTGAGAATGGAAGGTAAATTTCCTTACTGTTTCTCATATGAGAAGCGTCTTCATATTCGGGCGGGAAGCTTAGTTTGGGATATGTGGGATCGTTTAAGGTCTTAGAGAAAGTTGGTAAGATTGCCTATTGCCTTGCATTGCCACTAGAGTTATCACACATTCATTCGGTGTTCCACGTATCTTCACTTTGAAGGTATCGCAGTGATCCGTCTCATTTCATTTCTTATGAGCCAATCCAAATTAGAGAGAACCTCACTTATTACTAGTGACATGTTGAGATTCTTGATTGAAGAGAGAATGCTCTCTGCACCAAAGCTATTTCTTTGGTGCGTGTCTTGTCGAACAATCCTAGGGTGTTTGTGTCCACCTTGGAGACAGAAGACGAGATGCGCTGGCATTATCCACATTTGTTTGATTTAAGTACAATGAGTTTAGGGGACTAAACTCTTTTTTAAAGGGGGAAGGATGTGAAATCCCATCCCAAATTTCATTATTTAAATTTTGTATTTCATAGTTGTTGCGACGCATCCTTAATTATGGCATAAATTTTTTTTTTTCGAATTTGTAAAATGACGAAAATGCTCCTGTTGGACTAAACGGAGTCCTACGTGCACTTTTGAGCTCATTTGATTTTTTGTCTCTTTTCTTATCACATTTTGGTATCATGTGTTGATCCTAAATGTATCTTGGGATCGGAGCGTGACATTTACCCTACTGAGCTGGAAGGTCACCTCTTATGAATATTTGATAAGTGAGTCCTGAAAAAGTAGTCGACTTTCACAGAAAGTATAGAGAAAATTTTGCAATGTAATTTAAGAGATGTTTGTTTTCTTTTTCTTTTTTATTTTCTTTTTTATCCACGCATCGAGTTCGGGACTTTAATTGTTCCGCCGATTCTAAATCTAAGGCGTGACAATAATAGTGGATATTATTTAATAACATACAACATGACGCCTTTTAGATTGTCAATAACAACTCTTTTTGTATATAATATGTTAATATACAAAAAAACTCAAAGTTGCCGCAACCATATGCAATTATTGCGTTGCAACTAATACGTCAAGATTTGGTCTCATCTCATTGCACTAAAAAATAGTACTGTAAGAAAAACAATGTTTGACAAAAAAGAAAAGAAAAAGAAAAACAATGAGAAATGATAATCACATTTAAGAAAATCATAGATGGATCGCCTTAGGCCTACGACATGATAGCCTAAATCAATGTGACAGAGTATTGATTTGAGAGAAAGATTGTATTGTATTGTAATTTAACTAAATAAATTTTGATAATAATAACATACTACTTGGTATCATTCGTGACTTGTGAGAATTAGAGTTTATTTTAATTTACTAATCTTTGAAGAAAAAGGTATTACTCACTGCCTTGCTAATTAAAATATTATAGATCATACACCCGTTTGAGAAATAGATTGAAGAAATTAACAAGGATAGTTAAGATCAATATTTTTTATTTGTTGGAATAGTTAAGATCAATTAAAATAGTTAATTCATTAAATGAAGAGATTGAAATAAAAGTCGATTAATCCTACAAAGTACAAACATTGGGAATTCATTTGGGTTTGAAATTAGTCACGGATTTCAAAGTTCATTGGGCCTAGACCAAATTGGGGCCCATGGATTTAAGTTGTGAGACAACATAAATCCATAAAGTCCAAAAGAGGCTGAATGAAACTCTCTTAGCCGGTTAAAGAGGGAGGAGACATCGTTAAGTCCGCTGCTATAGCATCTAAAATGGGCTATTTAAATAAGGTCCCAACTTAAAATTTAGGAAGAATATAGAAAAGAGAAATTTTGTTTACACCCAACTTTTGTTTATGGACAAGCACATTCACGAAAATTTAAATTCCAACTATGTTTGAACGAGGGAAATAAACTTGAAATTTGAGTAAAAATCAAAATTTATAAATTGACATGCACTAATTTCCTTGTTTGAATTTATAAACATATAAATTTACAATTTTCGTGTGAAAAAAAAAAAAACTTGGAATTTGGGATCTCCAATTCCCAAATTTGAATTATACGTAAATATGCGTAATTTCTCAATTTCTATGATTGAGAGTTTCAAACTAACAAATTCCGTATTTAATTCCATTGTTCTTTTATGTTAATCAAACAAGAAAATTCACAAATTTTAGAAAACAAAATCCCGTAATTTTAATTTCAGTCATTTTAAAATTTCGTAGTAATCTTAGATTTCTTCATCTAAACATAATGTTAGATGTTTACTTTTCCAAACGTAGTGTTAGATGTTTACTTTTCCGTTGCTAAGAAAAATGTAAAAATATAATTAAAAAAGTTGTACTTGATGACATATTTCTTTGTATACAAACCCTAGTGGCTCTTCAATTTGGGTGTCAAAGAAATTAAGATTATGTTAAAGAGTCTAGTAAGTCCTTTATAGTAATTTTACATATGAGCATAAGTATTATTTTACATTTGGGAACTTTAACGAAAAGCTCCCGGTGTTGTTCACTTTAACGAAAAATTACATTTTTACACTAAAAAGTCAATCCTGGTACTATTCACTTTACTCTTTATTTTGTTTTTATCGTTAAAACTCAAAGTTTTCAAGCCATTTTCATTAATTTTCCTTAAATAAAATTGAAAGGTATCTAAAGACAAAAGTTTAGTGCAAACATAATTTCCCTTTAAAAAATTCCAACGCCAATCACACTCCCTATCATATTTATAGGATTGCAAAATGGCTAGGAGCTCCTAAATTTAAGAAGTGAGAAAGAAGCTTTTAAGGGTACATATTTATTATGACTCCCTAAATTAGAGACTATTGTTATATTAGAAATTTTTTATGGAGCTCCTAAAATGGCTTTGTAACCTTTTTAGCTAAAATTTAACTAAAAATAGAGTACGAACCTAATTCTAGGATTGTTTTCCCAGATTCAAATGCTTGATCGGAAAAACCGTAATTGATCGCCATTCCATTTTGTGAACAGTGGCAATCCGATAGTTGAATTGTCATGAATTTTAAATATATTATTGTTGGTGCTATATGTGACTTGTAAAAACTTACGTTCATGTACCTGAAGTTCGTAGACTTTAGATCAAAGATTTTAGGGTTTAGGACCCTAAAGGTGCCGCTTTGACCAAAGGGTTGACTTTCGTATTAGCGATTCTCATAGCATCATAGTGTGTCATTGCCAACGTGTACGACTCAGATTTGATAGTTGATGGACTTGAATCTCAGCATAACTAGTAAAGCAATAATCTGGGTTAAACAAAACGGACAAAATCCACACAAAAAAACTAAAAAACCCATAAAGAGCAGAGGAATGAAATAAAAACAAGGAAAAAAAAAAAATCAAAACACGTACCTTATACCTTATCTCTCCAGACTCCTTTGCCTACAGAAAGCCGAAGTACAATCGGTCCGTAAATGAAGCTGAACATAGTATGTATGCCATTTTTTTTCCTTTTAAAGTAAAACTGATCGACCGGAAGTTGAAATTGGCAGAAAATGAAATCAAGAGACACAGAAAAACAACGAAATTGAAAGAATGTAATATTTTTTTTGTTCTTCTGGGTTTACAGAATTGATTTTTCACTTTTAGAAGTAAAGCAAAGTAGATTAAGCAAAAGAAGGTTGCTGTGATGAAAAAACAAAACCAGACAAGTGTGTGCAATAAGAAGATGGAGCAAATAATGAGAAGGGGGATGGGAAGAACAACTCTCTTAGCACAAGAAGAGGAGATAATGAATGCATGAGTGAGACAATAGAGAAACTCTCACGTAGTATGTAATTACCCTTACAAAAGACTTAAGCGACGACCTACCTATGACGGCAATTAATTTTCATGGCAATTATTTAGCACTTTGGTGTGGGAGTCAACACCAACAAATTAACAATATTTATTGTATTATAACATCAATGGGGTGAATGTTCTCCATGAAGAAAACCTCACAATAAGACTATAGAGGTGCTAAAGACACTAAGTAAATAATTTAACCTTTTTTTTTCTTTTTAAATTATTATTATTTAGGAAAGGGGGAGGATTCAAAACTATTACAATAATTTAGAGGTGGAGAGTTTCGAACTCTAAATGCATGGGTGGAAACCTGATGCTCTGTCGACTAGGATTTTAAACCACATACAAATACAATATTTTAGCTTCCTAAACATTTTTTTAAACTCTTAAACTCTATACTGCTAAAATTTAACACCTCAGTTTTACTAGATGTCCAAAAATTGTTTACCGAACACAAAATGGGTGTCCAAAATCACTCCTCAAACTAATTAAAATCTTCCAATTACATCTCCAACATTGGATGCGAAGCTATTCTATTCAAATTTTCTTCAATTTAAGTTACGTTATTTGTATATGATACACTTGGTCAATTTTTTGTCAATTCATCTTGTTTTACCAGAAAATTAGTTTAGAGACCTAATTTTTATTCAAATGTTAACTCAAGGATTAAGTTAACAATTTATCCTACCAAAAATAAAACTTGAAGTATAATTCAAAGACTATTACTATAGTTAAGCCTTTGTAATTTTTACCAATATTTGTCTAAATTTAGACTGGAAATACATGCACCGGTTCCTCGATAGAAATTAAAGCTGGGTTGGAGGTTTCTCTGCTAATTTGAGTATTTGATCCACAAATTGAAGTTTTTCTCTAATATGGCTTGGAAGAATAAAAGTTGACTGTTTTCATTTGTGCTATCAAACTCAATCGTACAATCTGAATCCACGAGTTAAGGAGAACCACACCTTTATCTCCTCCTGCCTAACAATTTAATGTTGGTTGTTAGAAATTTAATGTTGGTTGTTGGTTGTTACTAGTAATTTAATGTCGGTTGTTAGTAATTTAATTGATATGGGGCCATTGACCCCATTGACTCTTCCATCATCACACACGCTACCGTCATTGAAACATTTGAAATTGAATCACCATAACACCGAAAGGGGTTCCCTTCGGGTTTTCTTTACGAGGATTTTAGAATCTTCTAATTATATTCGTTTATTGTAAATCGTATAGTCAGTTTTCATTACATATGATTTATATTTAATTTTAAATAAAAAATATTATAATGATTTCTGACCGTACGATATTACAATAAACGGATGTGATTAGAGGATTTCCAGAATCCTCACAAAGAGGATCTAGGATCCTCATTCATAACACCCATTTGTTCACATGTAAGTCCTTCCTAATATTCAACCTTACAGAAAAGAATTTGAAATCTAACATTATAAAATAGAGAACTTTAACGAAAAACTCCCGGTACTGTTCACTTTAACGAAAAATCACATTTTTACACTAAAAAGTCAATCATGGTACTATTCATTTTACCCTTTATTTTGTCATTATCATTAAAACTCAAAGTTTTCAAGCCCTTTTCATTAGTTTTCCTTATAAAATAAGGATGTTTTTTCTGCACCAAATTATCTTAGATTGAACTAGTTTCAGAGACAAGAACTAGGCTTAGCTTAAACTAAGTTGAATAAAAATAGTGAAGCATTTAGTATAGTGTCAAACTAAGTCGCAAACTGAAATATTTTAGACTAAATATTTTTGTTCAGGACAACAGAAAATTAAGAAACAAATGTAACACCCGGTTGTCCCACCATCTAGCAAAACCATTTCTATATACAACTAAGCAATTAAAATATGTCTTCCCTCACAACGAAGCAAGTCAGTCATTCGATTCCATGAGCACTAGTGCTAATCCAGTGAAAGGAAAAACAGATGAGAGAGGAAAATGCCACCAATTTAATCAAACAGTTGGATGATCCAACTAGAACAAATGGAACATCCCAATACTAAATTAACCCAGTACACAGCAGAACAAGGTAAACTGCTTAATTGTACATTCTACAATTTTTTACAATAAACTCTGAAAAATTACTAACTGCCTCAATCATCCGAGCTATATTCACCCGATTCAGGAAGAACTGCAACAGTAGCGCATCAACACAACTCTTTATCCATTAGGAGGAGACAGGTTCCATCTGAATTCCATTTTAAATCAACTATGCTAAATTGTGGTTGCGGCGAGATGCTCACATAGTAGGCATCACCAGGAGTCCACATGTACAGATGAGAATTTCCCCTGAAAAACAAGACGAGTGCACGTAGTCCACTACAACACACATGCGAATGGACTAAGGCCATCTCCAACCGATGGCTGGCCAGAGGGCTCGTTTTAGCCCTCTGGCCCTCCAAGATTCTTCAAGATATTAATATTTTAATGAACAGTACAAGACCATATTTGCCTCCGTCTCCAACCGAGGGCCAGAGGGCTCGTTTTAGCTCTGTCACAAAAAACCGTCTCCAACCAAGGACCAAAGGGCCATAGGGCCAAATATAATTTATTATTTAAAAACAAATTTTGTGAAATAAAAGTTATAGGAAAAAAATGGAATTTAAAAACAAATATGAAATAAATTTTATGAAATACAAGTTATGGGAAAAAATGGAATTTAAAAAAAATATGAAACAAATTTTGTGAAATACAAGTTATAGGAAAAAAATGGAATTTAAAAAAAATATGAACCAAATTTTGTCAAATATAAGTTATAGGAAAAAAGTTATAGGAAGTTTTTCTCTAATATGGCTTGGAAGAATAAAAGTTGACTGTTTCCATTTGTGCTATCAAACTCAATCGTACAATCTGAATCCACGAGTTAAGGAGAACCACACCTTTATCTCCTCCTGCCTAACAATTTAATGTTGGTTGTTAGAAATTTAATGTTGGTTGTTGGTTGTTACTAGTAATTTAATGTCGGTTGTTAGTAATTTAATTGATATGGGGCCATTGACCCCATTGACTCTTCCATCATCACACACGCTACCGTCATTGAAACATTTGAAATCGAATCACCATATCACTCGAAAGAGGATTTTCTTTGGATTTCTTTATGAGGACTTTAGAATCTTCTAATTACATTCGTTCATTGTAAATTGTGTATCAGTTTTCATTAAATACAATTTATATTTAAATAAAAAAATTACAATGATTTTTTACTGCACGATACTACAATAAACGGATGTGATTAGATGATTTCCAGAGTCCTTACAAACACCCACCTGTTCACATGTAAGTCCTTCCTAACATTCAACCTTACAGAAAAGAATTTCAAACCTTACATTATAAAATAAGGATCTTTTTACTGCACCGAATTATTTCAGACTAAACTAGCTTCAGAGACAAGAACTAGGCTTATCTTTAACTAAGTTGAATAAAAATAGTGAAGCATTAGTATAGTGTTAGACTAAGTCGCAAACTGAGATATTTTAGACTAAATATTTTTGTTCAGGACAACAGAAAATTAAGAAACAAATGTAACACCCGGTTGTCCCACCATCTAGCAAAACCATTTCTATATACAACTAAGCAATTAAAATATGCCTTCCCTCACAACGAAGCAAGTCAGTCATTCGATTCCATGCGCACTAGTGCTAATCCAGTGAAAGGAAAAACAAAATGAGAGAGGAAAAGGCCACCAATTTAATCAAACAGTTGGATGATCCAACTAGAACAAATGGAACATCCCAATACTAAATTAACCCAGTACACAACAGAACAAGGTAAATTGCTTAATTGTACATTCTATAATTTTTTACAATAAACTCTGGAAAATTACTAACTGCCTCAATCATCCGAGCTATATTCACCCAATTCAGGAAGAACTGCAACATCAGCGCAACAACACAACTCTTTATCCATTAGGAGGAGAGTTTCGAACTCTGAATGCATGGGTGGAAACCTGATGCTCTATCGACTAGGATTTTAAACCACATGCAAATACAATATTTAGATTCCTAAACAACACAACTCTTTATCCATTAGGAGGAGAGTTTCGAACTCTGAATGCATGGGTGGAAACCTGATGCTCTATCGACTAGGATTTTAAACCACATGCAAATACAATATTTAGATTCCTAAACATTTTTTTTTTAACTCTTAAACTCTATACTGCTAAAATTTAACACCTCAGTTTTACTAGACGTCCAAAAATTGTTTACCGAACACAAAATGGATGTCCAAAATCACTCCTCAAACTAATTAAAATCTTCCAATTACATCTCCAACATTGGATGCAAAGCTATTCTATTCAAATTTTCTTTAATTTAAGTTACGTTATTTGTATATGATACACTTGGTCAATTTTTTGTCAATTCATCTTGTTTTACCAGAAAAATAGTTTAGAGACTTAATTTTTATTCAAATGTTAACTCAAGGATTAAGTTAACAATTTATCCCAACAAAAATAAAACTCGAAGTATAATTCAAATACTATTACTATAGTTAAGCCTTTGTAATTTTTACGAATATTTGTCTAAATTTAGACTGGAAATACATGCACCGGTTCCTCGATAGAAATTAAAGCTGGGTTGGAGGTTTCTCTGCTAATTTGAGTATTTGATCCACAAATTGAAGTTTTTCTCTAACATGGCTTGGAAGAATAAAAGTTGACTGTTTCCATTTGTGCTGTCAAACTCAATCGTACAATCTGCATGCACGAGTTAAGGAGAACCACACCTTTATCTCCAGCCTAACAATTTAATGTTGGTTTGTAGAAATTTAATGTTGGTTATTGATTGTTAGCATGATCTTAAATATTCATAATATCCCGATATTTCTATCGAGATTTTCGTGTTTTTGAACTACTGATATTTTTTTGGACTACCGATATTTTTTATATCATCGATATTTTAGACCTTGCTAAGTCACTCATGTATCTTACCATGCAATGTATAAAGTGTAAAATATTATACTAATTCATTATATATAAATGATTATGGTGTGTTTAAACTTCTTTCATTAATTATTACATATTTTCTACACTCATAATATTTGTCAGCTTGCTATATAA